TAAGGGTATAGATGCTAAATGAGTGTATACTGCATAACTTTGTTTACGAGAACAATACATGTGATGATTAGGGGTAGTTATGCCGATTTATTATTATTTTTCTTGGTTTGTTTTAGGTTCTTGTTCAACCTGGTTATATTACCTACCGGGTAGATACAGTTTTTCATCAGTTTTAGGCGCAATAATCATGTGATGATGATTACATTCTTTTTGAGTTTTGTTTTTTAAAAGAAAAATGCAGTCATTATTTTTGTCTGTTGTTGGCATATTTTACTCATTTTCCTATACACTTCTTTATACAATCAGTCAGATAGGTTATAGAAATAAATAACAATACTAATATTAATAGTACTAATAATGTCTAATGATTAGCAAAACTATGCATGTATCTGCACTATTGTAAACACGCATCAATCAGCTGGCTGAAATTCACGAATTATTATCATTATTACATTAGATTAGGAGGCCGCTGGGTGACATATCGCTCGCGTCAGACCATTGCTCGAGTGGTACCAGGCCGATAGAGAAGAGGCGAGTGGGATGTCAGTGCAAGAGTGACATGGAGGAGATCGTGTGAAGAGGAGCTGAAACAGTACGGACTAACATGGATGCAGGTGAAAAGTACAGCAGAAGGAAGACAGAAGTGGCAAGTAGAGACGTGCAGTTTAACCCCTATGTTCTACTAGAAACCCAAGGGAACAATAATGATAACATTAGATTATTGGCAATATTAGTGAAAATGAACCTGTATCTGACATGATTGCTCTCCGATGATTATTCTCAACTGCCTAATTGTGTTGTTTGTCTTCAAAAGAGGAAGGTCCAAGTATTGGTTTGTGTAGGGATTTGATTGATTGGTTGGTGGATTTCATCATGAATTGACATCGGTTAGAGAACCAACCATTGGAAAACCAGCTAGGAATACTGGACAACTATTTCTTCCTAGTTTGGGACTCTGCTTCAGCGGTACGCACCCACCGCATAGGTTCGAATTCAGGACCTTCTGATTACAAGGCGAGCTTGTAGACCGTTAAACCAATGATTTTCCAATGGTCCTCTAACCGATGTTAGCTCATGATGAAATCCTGTAATATTAAGGTTCCTTGTGATGATTACTGAAAAAAGTTAGTGTCATCAGTAGTATAATACTCTATGTTCCAGTTTTACTGAATGTTTAGCAGACAACGTAGAGGTTGAAAGCAAATGTGTTAGCTATATCCCTATCAATAAAAGAAAAACTGGGCATTCTTGCTGGTCTGTGTTCTACGTGAACTTTAGGTTTTACAACTAGAAGGATTATTGCACTCGGCTTTATTCGTGGAGTTGCCTTGTGTTAATATCTTTTAGTGAAACGTGTATGAGACAAATATATCAAGTTATTTGGTATGGAAATCTAATGCTGAAGTGTTCGAATTCCTTAAAACGGTATTTTCAAATTAAACTGCTTCTATTTTATATTCTCTCTCTCTGTGTCTTTAAAAGTTGTTACAATAAACTTTAGAGGAAGGAGTATAATATGCCTCTGCATACAACCTAGAATATCTACTACATCTAATTACAATAAAAATTTCAACATATTTTAGTTCATGTTCAATTTTGGTTTTCCTGTTGTCTGACTGGATTGAAATGTTCGGCCTATACTAACATGTCAGCTCCCTAAGCAGATGGTTTGGTGTTGCTTTTGCTGTATGGAATTCCTAGGGTGCTCATTTCGTCCTATTTGGGACTTGTCAACGGAATGTACCTGCATTTACCAGTGAATGATGGTCTTCCTATTGAGACTCGTCCTGTTTTGAAACGTTTTTAGACGATGGGCACTGATTTCAAGTTTCAGTGAGAATGCAGGTACATGCATATGACGAGTCGGAAACAGGACGAAATACTCATCTTGGATTCCACGGCTATTCACCATCTACCAAAATTACTTTAATACTTTATTTCATGTAATATAAATAAACCTATCAGTACATTATTATTATTACCCTTGGTTTCCTAGTGGGGCATAAACCTTCAACAGCGGATCTTCATTGCACTCTGTTCTCTGCAGTCCTATGTAGCTAGTTTCATGATTGTTCATAAACTTCTGTTTACTCCTCACACAATCTTCTGCATGTCACTCTCGGACTCTTGCCCAACTCGTCGTTTCCCCGTTTGGTTTCAACTCCAGGGCCTGGGGCGCGTGATGGTTTTCTCAGCTTATATCCAATCCATCACCATTTCTTTCTGCATATTTCTTGGGCAATAGGTCTTTGTTTCCCCCGGCGTTCGCCAGAGTTTCTTATTGTTTATCCTTTCCGATCAGCATAGAATTAACAAATCAATGTCACAGTAAAAAAATATCCGACAGGTAGTGAAATTTAACGAAGTTATTCTGAAAATATCACTAATATGTTCGCATTTTTGTGAAGGAGGAATTTCTCTTCTTTTTGTATGTTAACATGGATAATCCAAAATAGAGTTTTCGCTATTAAGCAGACAGTTTCATAACAATCGGAAGATAGAATGTTTGTTACAATACCACAAACAGTACTTAGAAAAAAAATTTATGAAAGGTGCAAACATAAGAAACAAATATTTCTGGTTTGTTTGTAATAACTTTAAATGGCATGATCTGTTTCCTTTTTCTTTTTTTTAATGGATTTTTGAAAGTGACTCTTAAGCATCCATCTATTATCACGTGTCTGTTCAGTACTTAGAGATTGACTTGCTGAGACCATTTTTGATGCTCTTCAGCAGCACATGTTCAAAAACAATCTAAGACAAGCTCTTTTCTTGTTTTATTTTTCGATTTAACTTCTACCAAGGGTACACATGAATCAATGTCTCTTCAATTGTAGGGGTAACATGTGATAGATACGGGTTGGCTTTTAATTGTTTCAATGAACAAGATGTTAGAAGCATAACCACACCTGACATTAACTTTAGTCAATGGTGTGCTCTTAATCTTTTGTTTAACATGTATATATATATATATATATATATATATATATATATATATATATATATATTTACAGTGTCATTGCTCTTGATTAAAAATTGCTTCCTTCTCAATAGTTAGTAGCATGTTAAGGTTGGTTACATATTTATAACTATCGTATTCATTGGTAAAGCTACTTAAGTAGTTTTTTTCTCTCAAACATTTCTGTAGCATCCGGTTTGTCAACTTGAATATTTTCTGTAGGCTCTATAGAATACTGCTTAAATCAATGCTTTGCTTATTAACTAACCTGGCAAACGTTTTTGAAATCCATCTACGTACAGTGTCTTCCTGATGAACAGGTCTTTCTTGTACTGTATGCTGTTATCGTGGAAAGTGAATCTACCACAGTCCTCATGTCTCATGATTTCACATTTTTCTATGCACTTTTGAAAAGTTCAAGCAATTATATGCTGGGGTCTAAATAAGTTAAAATGATAAATGTCATTTGCGTTTCTAAAGTAGTCTCCTCATTTGTATTTTTCAATTATGTTACCTCAAGACTAACTGTAAAAAATATATTCCAATACAAAATTCAAGGACTACGCATTATCGCCTTTTCTTTTTGTCAACGTAACGTTTTGGTTACACTGAAAACGGATAACTTCAGTAATATAAAAAGACAAGATGTTTAACTCCAGTGTATTTATGCAGTGGAGATGAATTTGTTAACAACTAAGAAGTATTTGTTTTTAGTTGATGGTAGCTAGCAGTGGATTCCTCAGGATGCGCATCTCGTCCTGTTTTGGATTCGTCAACTGGATTTACATGTACTCAAACGTTAAAGCACTATCCATTAGGTCATAAGGACCATCTCTTGTAAAACAGTTATCAGTTATTATTTATTTTGAGGTTGATTTTCATTTCTTTTTTGATTGATTATGTCGGGTTGAAATGCTTCGTCTCTGTTGACGTGTCAGCGTTTGAAACGATGGACGTAGTGTTCGAGTGTCAGTGGGAACACCGTCACTCGTTAGAAATGCAGACACTTATAGCGGACAAGTGACAAATAAAACGAAATGCGCATCCTGCGGATTCCACTACTAGACACTATGAACTAAAAATAACTTCATATTAATCCGGAGGCATATCAACAGAATAATGTACTACATATTTCTGCCTTTCTGTTTTGTCTTGATGTTCGATGTGGATTCGTGTATTTACTTCATACCGCATATTATCAGGTAGGTACAATATTCAGCGGGGAAATCATAAGAGCGATAAATCTTTGCTTTCTTAACTTCCTTTGTACGATACTTAATACTGGCTGATATGAATTAGGAAGAATCACTCATGCACACCTTGTTTTTATGGTTGGAATCGTACTCATTAATGGTATTTTCGGAGTAACTTTTAGAGCCCAGCCACTTTAAACTACCTTGATTGTTTCACTGTGTTTTCGCGAACTGGTATATATGGTTTCCAAAGTTTAAATCCCTTCGGTCTGATTAGTTAATACTGTTGGGTGGTTGATGTGAATGATTACTAACTGCTTATATCGATCAGTGTGTGTCGACGGCACAACGGATAGGACGTTCGCCGACCGTGCACGTAATCTGAGGTTCGATTCCCGGCCGACGCACTCCTTTACCTCGCTAAGCCACCAATACAAAAGCTGGTAGAGAAGAAAGATTGGGCATGAGGCTAGTAACCCCATCCTGTAAAAATAATCACCACTGCTACAGAAACTTCAAGCGTCTAGCTTGAAGCCCTCTGTTCCACTGGGAACGCGAAGGAATTAATAATAATAATAATAATATATCAGTCAGTAGCGTATTATCGTACAGTTAACTTGTTACTGTTTGTTGTGTTAAGCAGGTTGTATATTACGCTGTAAAGGCTTCTTTCTTGTTTATAAATGAAACCATTATGGCATCTTATTGGGGTATGTGATTTCTGTTGACGTGAAATTTAAGCTGATTGCATAATGTATATTGATGTTAAGTTTACTAATTGAAAGTTTTATGGTAATATTTGTATCTTCTGTCTTTTTTTTACAAAAATTATTACATAACCAAATCAGAATTAAATGACAGGTTATTTGAACAATTAGCTGAAGTGCCAAAATTTGAATCGAACGCCTATGAATCTTCATCATCATTATTACCATTTTGTGAGGAGTCCAATTCATCTGAAGGTGAAATAAAACGTCATTATGCTGAAAAATTAAAGTTACTCAAAAAACAATTGAAAGCATTAAATGAACAACTACAGACAACACGTTATGTAATGAATAAATTAGAACTTTATGGTATACCAATAGGTGTATCACCAAAGGAATATGTTAAACAATTTATTAATTCAAGGCGTAAATCATTTATGAGTACTGCTTCAACTGCTTCACCAGTATTAAAACCGAAGACAAGTTAGTTTACTTAATTATTTAATATTATTTGATGATTTATTTATTATATTTATTGTTACTATGATTGATTTTTTCAGAACAGATATTGGAAAAGTGGAAGAGTGACCAACCAGTACCTCACGCCATTATTATTATTATTATTCATTCCTTGAGTTCCGAGTGGAACATACAACTTCACTGGCACATCGCTATTTCATTCTATTCTTTGTTCTGTTTTTCATTTATGACTGGTCCCACGACTGTCCATAAATCTTCATTTCCCGTTATAATCTCCTCCATGTCACCATTGGATGCTCAACCCGTCACTTTTCATCTGAGTTCCATTTAAAAACCCGACATGTGTGATTTGTCACTTGACTGACTCCTCAGCTTACGTTCAATCCTTCTCCACTTCCATCTTTATATTTATCCAGCAGCATGTTGTTGGCCTCCAAGAAGACCTGGATTTTGCGGATGACTTATGTTTGATGTCACACCAAATCGAAGACTTACAAGCGAAAACCGACAAACTGGTCGAAGAAGCAGCCGGCGAAGACAGGACTCCAAGTGAACCAAGACAAGGCGGAGGTTATGAAAACAACCAACCAACAACAACAATAACAGTAGCAATATCCAGCGCCAGTCACCATCAACGGGTGGGATTTGAAAGAGGTTACTTCATTCATTTACTTATCTAGGGAGCATTGTCTCAACTGCAGGCAGTCGGAACGGACGAGGATGTCAAATCGAGAATCGGGAGAAACACATTCATCAACCTGAAACCAATCTGGAAATCTTCGTCACTCAGCCAGCATCAACAACAAAATCCGGTCGGATTTTCAATACAAACGTCAAGTAAGTCAGTTCTTCTATACGGATCAGAAACTTGGCGGGCGGGCGGGTCACAAAGAATATTTCCAACAGCCTGTTGCAGACGTTACCTTTATCAACCACTAACTGTCTTCGCTGGATCTATACTGAAGATCAGATGGCCGGCCGGGCCGGAAAGAATCACCAACAAGAAACTATGGCTGGGAACAAACAAACAAACAAACGAAACAAGAACCAATCGCCAACCAACAAATATGCAGGAGAAAGTGGATGGAGATGGATTGGACACTCGCTCGCTGAGGAGGCCGCTGGGTGACATCGCGCGCGCGCGTCAGACCACTGCTCGAGTGGAACCAGGCCGAAAGGGAAGTACTCGGCGAGTGGGTCGCCAGTGCAAGGGTGACATGGAGGAGATCGTATGAAGAGGAGTTGAAAGAGTATGGACTGACATGGATGGAGGTGAAAGGTACAGTAGAAGGAAGACAGAAGTGGCAAGTGGAGACGTGCATTTGAAGCCCTATGTTCCACTAGGAACCCAAGGAAACCATAATAATAATTTTGTTGGCCGGTTAGCTGCCGGAGTTCCTTTGTTGCTTATCCTTGCTGGTTGGTCATTTTAGCTTCGGTACCGAACCAGTGAATGCAGATGTTGATGAGAGTCTGCAACAGGCTGTTGGAAATAGTTTTGGTAACGCGCCTAATCTCTGACTCTTTGGTAATGTGATATCAACTCGAATTAATCGAAAAAATTAAGTAATTATGTAACTAACAATATCAGAATACAGTTAGTTATGGCATTTCGAGAATAATTTCGCTTCCCTCCTGAATATACAAAAGTTCAGTGGAAAATATCCTACGGTAGTTCTATTTAGGAAGCTTATTAGTCCAAGCAGTTTCTACACATTTATTTATTTTTATATCAAAAATTAATTTTGTCAGACAACCATTAAATACTATTATGTATTTTCCACTGCTAGTCATTACCAAGCAAAATAAGTTTAGATTGAGAGTATTAACTTTCCAATGAAAAAATATGGTGTGAAAAAATCTTTGTTATATTTATAAATCTAATTAATGCTATTATGCTGGGAAGTCGTGACCAGTCTAGGTAGAGCAGGTCGGGCGGGAGGACGAATACTCCCTGAAGACATTGGTTAGTGGTCGTGCTATGTTGTTAATTGGCAGAAGCTGGAATTCATGGGCTATTAGATCGTGTCCAAGTGGCTTAATGGTCTATAAGCTCGCCTTCTAAACCAGAAGGTGTTGGGTTCGAACCTCTCTGGTTGAGGTGTCCCAAACTAGAACGAAACAGCTGTCCAGTACTCCCAGCTGGTTTTCCAGTGGTTTTCTAACCGATATCAGCTTATTATGGAATCCTGTAACTAATGCTGTTCTCTTGGATTTTATCAAATTTTGATTTTCCAACTGAAATTGAACCTATCAATCCTTGTCCTCAACCGAATATTTACAAACACAGCATACATTATGCGCCACACGAAATCTCATATTTTGTGCCAGGGTTTAGATATTGCTGCGATGCCGAGAGAGAAGCAAGTAGGTGTCTTTAGGGGCCAACCCTCTTCCCTCCAGTCTTTAACTTGAAGTTTGATCCACAAGGCCAGTGGAGCTGCGCTCCCACGGTTGCTGGTGGGCAAAGCAGGTTCATATCTCATTCTGTTTGTTTAGCGTGAGGGATTCCCGGCCTACTTAGGTGGACCGGCATGTCAAACAGTTCGCTCGTAAGCGCCATACATTCACATTCTCTCTTTCACCGTTGTGAGGAACATCTACGCCGCGTCAGGGTAGTACTAAGGTGGGGATAATAGCAGACTCCAGTGTTTTTATGTCATGGATTCATTTTGTTCCTGTGTATTTATAATGAGTTGGGTATCCAGGGATGACATGTTGGAGATCATATGAGGAGGAAATGTAAGATTATAGGCGATTGGATAGCCAATTAAAAAAGACTGCGGAGAACAGAATGAAATGGTGATGTGTTGCTGCGGCACTACTATGTTCTAGCTGTAACTGAAGGGATTGATAATAATATGAAATTAATTCTAATTCCAATCTCTTTCATACTGAATTGGTGTAATACATGTTGTACCGCCGTTATTTATGTAATCAAGATTTTTGTTTTAAATTATTTTCTACTCAGCCTTACCCAGCACATCTAATACTGGTAATCTTCCAAATGACAATACTGCAGCATCAGGATTAATATCATCCGACGATGTATGCCGTAGTCATCAGTTGGCTAAAACTCTTCCAGCACGAACATCTAATCCAAACATTGATTCCTGTAAACTACCAACACGTCAATCGAATACCATGCCGGCTAAATGTATTCATGAGACTAAAGTATTTAATACAGATACTATATTTAATCTTGCACAATCTTCTATTGGTAGTCAATCCTTGTATACTTCAGATGCAAAGCCTATACAATCTTCTCAATCGTCATCAATGTCAACAACATCATATACACCATATAAACCTGAATTAAGTGGTCCAATTATGTCGACATGTACTACTACTTCTGCTGCTGCTTCTTCTTCCAATTCTACTAAAACACCATTAACTTCTCATCCTACAGCACCGCATTTGTTTCCGCATTTATCACCAAATGAACATGTTGTTTATGATGATTATACAACGAAAATACCTAGTACTCCTTCAAATACTCGTATGTTGAATACAGTACGAACAGGTTTAGGGTAAGTGATGTTTACATTTGTATTCCTTCACATTCCCAGTGGAGCATACGGCTTCAAGCTAGAGGCTTAAAGTTTCTGTAGCAGTGTTTAATTTTACAGGATTGGGTTGCTAGCCTTATGCCCAACCTTTCCTCTTCACCAGCTTTACTTCTATCTGAGTGCGTCGGCAGGGAATCGAACCCCGGGCCAAGTTAGGACTCTCGATGACCATGCACATTGTCTGGGGTTCGAGCCCACACCGGCGCACAACAGATATCTATGGTCGGCCTGCGAAATTTGGGCTACCGATATCCACGCTGAAAATTCCATACTTGTACCAAAAATACAGTGTGGGATCAAGCTGTTACCAAAAATAAAAAAAAGTACATGGTAGGCGAGCGTCTTAACCGCTATGCCACCGACGCACCCAAGACATGATGTAAAATAAACACATGCTACGCTTTATATTGTTTAACCACCTGATAAAAGAATAAAAAAGGATGTAATGCGTTATTCATTTTCTTATTTTGTATGCTATCTATTTAAGATTTTGAGCTTAGATAGAAACACCTTCGTGGTATCATTATTATTATTTTTGTTATTATGGCTTAATTCCACACTGTATTTTTAGTAGAAGTACGGAATTTTCAGCATGTGATATCGGTAGCTCAAATTTTGCAGGCCGACTATTCTATATCAGGTGTGCGTCGTCAGGGGATCGAAACCCGGATCATGTGCATGGTTGCCGAGAGTCCTAACCTCTATGCCACCGACTGACTGACGGAATGAGTTTTAACTTAAAGCTTTGCATAGAAGTGCAGCAATTCCAGTTACGACTTCTTATGTAGCACACAAAGGTTGGGAAAAGAAAGCGAAAACAAAAATCAAAAGAAATACCAGGCACAGAAATGTTTGGGAGAAAGAATAGTAACATGGAGAAAAATTAGCACTTAGTGGATAAGATACATTGTAACCTGTGAGAATGCATTTACTCCATTGACAATGGTTTTGAGTCATATCACCGTTCGTCTCAAGTCATTGGATCTTAGCAACCTGAGACTGCACCTTAGGGGTTGGTGCCAAGTTTCAACTTATCCACTCCTAAGTGTTTTCCAACTTACTTCTATGGAGGAAGGCGGTAGACCGGACATGTATAACATGTGTCCTAGTCATCTTGAACTGCGTGGCTTCACAACCCGAATGGTTGACTTTCCCCCTTTAGCTTACATTCTGTCCCTAATCTCAACATTACTCACTATATAATAACATTTAATACGGGAGAAAGAATGCAAATTTGAGGGTGTTTTACTGACATACCTCGGCATGTTTCATCTTAGATTAATAAATATGCATTAAATCGCAAACATTGTATTTAAATATAGTTTTGAAGAGTTCGTTTGTAAGGATTTGACTGATTTTAAGTTTAATCATTTATCGATGTCAGTTAGAGGATCATTGAAAACCGGAGAGTAGTGGATAACCGTTTCGTCCTAGTTTAGGACGTTTTAGCAGTTTTAGAGCTTTTATAAACGATAAACATCGGATGTATATAATTTCATCTATTTTTAATGCATATTTTGTATACCAGGCCTCAAATCTGTTCTTCTTCAGTCATATGATTCAATTTTTATCACAAAAAAAAATAACTCATAACTGACACCTTCATGTGATTGACTAACTGACTGTAAATATTCCCTTGTAGATTATAATCTTAACAACTTTGACTTCCATTTTCTGTGAATCATTCGCTATATAGAATGAGGAAAAGCAAGGTTGTAGCGCAGATTTCATTCTTTTTTTTTCTTTCTCACTTACACTCAATTTGAAAGTTTTGTATATTGAGAAGTTATTATGATTCTTAATTTATTACTTTTGCTAGCTCATCAGGGAATACACTAACTGTTATAACTAGCCGCATGGTTATACACGGATATTAACTGTTTGTTATCACTACTATTATATAATTCTTAGTTCATTTCCATAGACGATTAATTAGTGGCGGGGTGGGGGGAGGGGAGGGGAGGAGGGCTAGCACTAGCGATAAATTACTGGAGAAGTGTATTAAAAAGCAGGAGAGCCGTATGCATACAGCAAACCTGAGAGCATATAGTTTGTTTTTTTCCAAGACAGAAGGCATTTCAAAAAAAAAGTATTAAATTGACTAGTTAACTGCCAGCTTATCTTTTAATTCATTTTTAGCACGGAGTAGATTCTGACTAGTCGGTTTCCCGACTGAACCCATTCATTAAAAGAGTGAAGTTATTGCATAAAAAAAACTTGCTGCCCTGTAGTCTCAATATACTTGGATATAAGTAGGATGGAAGCGGCCAATTACTATTTGAGTTTCCTTGGGTAGTTGACTTCATATGATTTTGTGTTACCTGCTTAATTGAATGGTGTAATCATATGAAATGTTATGTTTGGCTGTTCCAAAGGGGTGTCATATCAACTTCTTTTTTTTCTACACAGCTGGAATATCCGCCTTAGCATTTGTTATACGATGCACAAAAATACCTCATGATAGCTTTTATCCTCACCCCATATCAGAGCGATTATAAGCGTGTAGTTATTTCTTACAGGTTTGATCATGAATCGATATCAATTAGAAAACCATTGGAAAACCTGGGAGTGCTGGACACCTGTTTCTTCCTAGTTTAGGAGTCTTCAGCACTAGTTAGTTCTTTCTAGCAAGAGTTTCTTGTCTTGTTAATTGATTAACCTACATTGTTGATGTGTGAAAGTCAACAGAGAAGAAACAAAGTATAATTATATTTTAATAGTTTACACACAATGATGTTTTTATATTTTGGTGATATTCCGAGCAAAAGGTCGACCATACACGTGGTCCGGGGTTCGATCCCCGGCCACCGACGCACTTCTTTACCTCGCCAAGCCAGAAATGGTCCTGGTAAAGAGGAAAGGTTGGGCATGTGGCTGGCAATCTCATCCTGTAAAATAAACACTGCTACAGTAACTTCAAGCCACTAGCTTGAAGCCCTATGTTCCACTGAGGAACGTGAAGGAAAAATTATTTTATTATTATTTATTCGAGCAAAATTACTGCCCGTGATAACACCAACTGTTGGAATTGTTTTGTTTTTAATTTACACATGTACGATTTGTACTCAAACATACAGTTCTTATTTTGTCCATTCATTTTTGTGTATTCAGAATTATATTCCTGGTTGTTGACAGTTGTACTGCTGAGTCACCCTTGTTACATGTATCCGGTGTGACGTTAAAATGGATACAGATTTTGTCATTAGTCTCTCCTTGCATTTGTTCATATTAGATTTTAGAGTACAAATATTGTTCCAATCAATCTTGTGGTTTTTGTCCTATGCATGTGCAGATGTAGAGGATTTATTTTTTCTAAATTATTTTAGTCTCATGTTCCTGTGGCTTGACCTTTACTTAGGCGTTTATGTTCATTTACTCTTATTTTGAGTGACCTGGACGTTTGACTCACATATATTTATTCGGACACTCAGCACAATATATTTTTTAAATTACATTGTTTTTTATCCATCATTTTTAGTGGGTCACACATTCAGTTGATTTATCTTATTTTCAATTAGATTCTTGTGTGTGTGTGAATTAAAAACAAAACAATTCTAACAGTTGGTGGGATCATGGGCAGTAAATTTGCTCGAAATGCTACCAAAAAACAATAATTTATCACTGTGTGTAAACCATTTAAATATAATTAAACTTTATTTGATCTATTCCACAATGCTCAAACTGTTTTACTGATATTTGGAGAGAAGAACTTGTGTGTGTGTGTGTGTGTGTATGTGTGGCTAGTTAAGTGGGTATTAACTTTAATGCAATCTCTCTTAATTAACTTGATTGAATTTGAGATTTTCCCGTCGATTGATTGGACCGAAGTGCTCGATCTCAGGTTGACATATTGGCTTCTTGTGCAGATGCTTCGACGATGTCTGGGCGTTTAATTAGAATATAATTTGTGGATGGTGACTAGCAGTGGAATCTAAGATGCGCATTTCGTCCTATTTGGGACTCGTCAGCTAGCTGGATGTGCCTGCATTTCCCAGTGAGTGATGATGTTCCCACAGAGGCTCGAATCCAGTGTCCTTAGTTTCGAGCCTCGGTGGGAACATCATCACTCACTGGGAAATGCAGGCACATCCAGCTAGCTGACGAGTCCCAAATAGGACGAAATGCGCATCTTAGATTCCACTGCTAGTCACCATCCACAAATTACTACCTTAATTATCTTGTGGATGAAGTGTCTAAATACATTCTACTATAATGTTCTCTTACTGTGCATATAGCTGTGAAGCATAATTTTTATTGAGAAACCATCTATTACAGTTAGGATTACACAAATACTACATTGAAGCTGTCTTAAAAGCATAACACGCCCTCATAACATCATCATCATCATCAGATAAGCAGTGGTTGACAGAAAAAAAACGAACACATTAAGCATGATGTTTTTTTAAGCCAGGAAAAGATATTTCTTTTTTTCAAGTTGTATGCATTCATGCCTACACTATCCGGGAAGAGACCAACACAAGCGAAACCTATAAAAGACAGCCAAGGGAAGCCCATTACCAAGGAAGAAAAACAGATTAAACAATGGGCGGATCACTTCAAAGGACTCTTAAACAGACCACCACCTGCAACCCGTCCAGAAATACCAACAACAGCGCACACACAACTGCAAGTTGACACCAATCCTCCAACGAAAGCTGAAGTCTTGAATGCAATCAAACTTCTGAAAGCTGGAAAAACAGCCGGACCAGATGGAATACCCCCTGAAGCACTGAAAGCAGACCCAGAGACTACAGCAGACATGCTGACTCCATTATTGCAAAAGGTCTGGAAGGAGGGAAAGGTGCCTACTGACTGGAGGAAAGGTTACCTCGTGAAACTACCAAAGAAGGGCGACTTAGGACTCATCTGCAAGAACTGGCGAGGAATCATGCTCCTATCGACGCCAAGTAAAATCCTGAGTCGCATCATCCTGGAGAGATTAAAGGACGCACTGGAGACAGAACTCCGACCAGAACAAGCTGGATTCAGGAAAGTCAGGCAAATCATGTACTGACCAAATTGCAACTCTACGCATCATCATCGAACAAAGCATGGAATGGCAATCAAACCTCTACCTCAACTTTATAGACTTTGAGAAGGCCTTCGACAGCGTTGATCGTGAAGTAATTTGGAAATTACTCGAGTACTATGGCGTACCCCAAATATTCATCAACCTTATTCAACAGCTGTACTACAACGGCACCTGCCAAGTGATCCACAACGGAAGACTCAGCGAGGCGTTTGGAGTAAACACAGGAGTCAGACAAGGGTGCTTATCATCACCAATGATATTCCTAATTGTGGTGGACTGATGGATTATGCGTCAGACAGTGGTGGGAAACGAGAAGACAGGGATATCCTGGACCGACGTGAAGAACCTAGAAGACCTGGATTTCGCGCGTGGATGATTTATGTTTGATGTCACACAAAATCGAAGACTTACAAGCGAAAACCGACAAACTGGTCGAAGAAGCAGCCGGCGAAGACAGGACTCCAGGTAAACATAGACAAGACGGAGGTTATGAAAATAACCAACCAACAACAGCAACAACATCCAACGTCAATCACCATCAACGGGAGGGATTTGAAAGAGGTTACTTCATTCACTTATCTAGGGAGCATTGTCTCAACTACAGGAGGAGCGGACGAGGATGTCAAATCGAGCGAGAATCGGGAAGGCGAGAAACACATTCATCAGCCTGAAATCAATCTGGAAATCTTCGTCACTCAGCATCAACAACAAAATTCGGATTTTCAATACAAACGTAAAGTCAGTTCTTCTATACGGATCAGAAACTTGGCGGGCGGGTCACAAAGAATATTTCCAACAGCTGTTGCAGACCTTTATTAACAACTGTCTTCGCTCTATACTGAAGATCAGATGGCCGGCCGGAAAGAATCACCAACAAGGAATTATGGGAACAAACAAAGCAAGAACCAATCGCCCAACAAATATGCAGGAGAAAGTGGAGATGGATCGGACACTCGCTGAGGAGACCGGTTGGTGACATCGCGCGCCAAGCCCTCGAGTGGAACCCGAAAGGGAAGCGGCGTGTGGGACGTCCAAGGGTGACATGGAGGAGATCGTGTGAAGAGGAGTTGAAAGAATATGGATTAACATGGATGCAGGCGAAAAGTATAGCAGAAGACAGAAGAAAATGGAGACGTGCAGTTGAAGCCCTATGTTCCACTAGGAACCCAAGGGAGCAATAATAATAATAATAAATGCATTCATGCATGTTATCTTGGATTATGCATGATTACCTTGAAGAGACAAATTAAGACATAAATTGTTTATTGCTTTTTATTTTTCAATAGGTTTTTCTATAATCCATTTGATCGTTTTCTTATACATAGGTGTAAACAGACAGCATTTATCTCATCTTTAAATAAAATATGTTGTTAGGATACACCTAATTTGCAATAAATATTGATTTTATTGAGAATGTCTTAGATGACCTTGTTTTTTGAATGGAACATAGGTCTTCAGAAACACAGTCAATGAAATCCACAACAGTTAGTTTAAGCCAGCCACGTAGGAAGGTGTAGACTTCTTGGTTGGGGGTCTTCAGGGCAGTAAAAACCAAAGGCTGGAGACAATTGGTGATATGGCTCAAAATCGTTCTCAATGGCTGGCGCAGGTGCATCCACTCGTTGTGACATATAATACCCAATAAAACTGTATTGTTCTTCGATATTACTGTTCCTTTTTTCTAATATCTCTGTTTGCTGTCACTATTTCGCATTTCGTTTTACTTTCTTCCCTTGCTTTGTGTGCTACATGGAGTGTGGCGACTTGAACTACTGCACATCGGTACAAAGTCCTATGTTGAAACCAGTCAGTCAGTCTTTAGAAACGCATCTTCACTTCATGTTTTTCAGTCTTTTATTGCTGGTTCCACGGTTGTCCATAAGCCTTCATCTCCTTCTTGCCTGATCCATTCCATGTCACTCTTGGGTACACGCCTAACTAGTCGTTTTCTATTCAGGTCCTAATATATGGTTTGTCTGGTCCACTGTGTATGTGTCACTCAACGGTGTCCTCAGTGTGTATACCTAATTATTCTTGGGTTGGCAGACTGTTATTAATACCGGTGAGTGATGACTGAAGGGGAATATAATCATCTGCTTCTAAATTACTAGTGAGATATTTTACCCTAGCATTTATAGCTTAGATAGTAGATCACTGAACTAGTAATTCGTAGGCAGCTAGTTCGAGCTCTGTCGTCGTCTCAGTTATAACCAACTATCCCACTGATACATAAAGATTGATTATTGTTCGAAGACAGATAGATTTCTTTGTATTCTTGTATGTATTTTTTCATTGTTCACTATTTCAATTTTAGGTCATTCGGTCGTCAGCTGTTTCGAGTTGGTAAACCTCGATCGCACAGTGATGAGAATATCCCAGTGAAAATTAACTCTAGTTCAAGTAAGCATATTTCTTTAAAGAGTTTATCCCTTTTTATGAGTATATGTCTGGGAATATTTGTAATTCAGAAAGACATATTGAAACGGTAAAAGACGAAAAACTTCGTTAAGGAATGTTTATTTGGAAACTGGTATCTCTGTGCGACCAAATTATGTATGTATACCTTATCTTCAACTCACCATTTGTACAGATCTTGGCACTGTGGTACTTCTGAACTTCATGTTGTGTTTCTTTGTGTTTCTTTTCACGTCTCCTATGGATCTCCACAACGCTGTTTCATTTATATTCTCTAAAATCAAATGTATCTCCTTGATATTTGATGTTTTTATGTCGATGAACGTCTCTTTATATACTACTGATAAATCTTATCAGTAGCATTCACCACAATATGTTTATATTTGCTTCATATTCTCTGAATCAGATTGGTGTATAATTGCGAAGCTTTTCTTGTCATTCTATGAAAAAGTTGTCACTATTAAAAGTTTTAGAATAATATGCTCTTTTCGAATCTGTATAGGGCAAGTATAGAAATTTGTCATGCGGACCATACATGTCGTCTTTCTTACTGGTCAATGAATTAAATCTATCTCTTGTCCTCTTTTCGCTTTCACACTCATGGATTTATACCCTTTTGCTAACTTATTTTATGTTTTTGCGGTTGTTTATGCTTCGATATAACTTCAGTTACATGTTGCTTATTTGCTAATTAAAGCTTATTTAGATGTGAAGATAAATGGTTCAACTACCCCTGTTGTTGCATTCTTTAACGTTGTATAGAGCAAATCGATTTATGTGGTGTTTGTTTTGAAGAGAAAGTAGCTTCAATGGATTTCAAGATTCCTGATACAATCTCAGTAACTATTGATGCCTAGAAAACTTATCCTTTTTGTTAGCGTTTATAGATTACTTTGTGGTTGTTGAAAAAATTTCTGGACGTCAGAAAATAGCAAACTGGCGAAGATTAATTTTGGTAAAATAGCCACTTATAATTTATGTACAGAAAATGACGTCACAACCTCAAAAACAAGCAGTTGGGCGTTAAGTCAAGAATAAGTATAAGAGCTTTAAGGTGATAAAATGCTAAACACACTGAAAATATTCTCCAGGTTTACAATTCCTTGTAGAGAGTGGATTATTTCTTCTGAGTTTTCCCCATGGATTGAAATCAGTTGGAGAACCATCGAAAACCAGGCAGTCATGAACAGGTTTTTCATCAGTACGCACCCACTGGGGTTTGAACATTGGACCTTCAGGTTACAAGGCGAGCTAGCTCGCATACCATTCAGCCACCTGGACCCAACTCAATAACCCTTGAATTCTAACTTCTACCATTTCGTGTATCTTTTGTCGAAATTTATTCGCTGCTTTATTTCTCACGTTGCGAGTGGAACGTAAGGCTTTTAGTTTCAAAGTTTCAGTAGCTGTGGTGTTGCTTTTATGCGGTGCCGTTGTTAGCCTCACATCCAAACTTCGTTTTGTTCCAGGATTACTACGGGCTAGTAAAATAAGCCTAGTTTAGGAGTCCATTCTCTTTCTTGGTTGACGAACATTCCACTATGGAGCCGCCCGTCGCGCAAGATATTCATGTTAATAAAGCTTGGCAAAATTTTCGTGTAATAATTCGGCAGAAATTGTGCCCCCCCCTTCCCAGTTAAAAGTAGTCACATTTGTATGGGAATTACGCAGTGTTGAAATATTTTGTAACTATGTGCAGTGTTTTATTTCTGATCATCATTCTGAATTGATCAAATGAGCAACTTCGTACTAGAGAAGTGTTTACCTTGTATCACTACATTTTAAGTCTTTGTTAATAGGTCTGTAGGAGTTTAAAAGCTCTTATACATTGTCTTATGCACTCAACTCTCAACCAAAGTGGGTTGCAATTTTGATTTTTCGCTTCAGCTATTTCAGTCTGCTAGATAGGACTCATGTGTGTCTGCCTAACTGAGTTCTATGTAACTTCACGAAATTGTTCGTTTATGTGAAGTAATATTATAAATGCATCAATTATTTTACAGTGTACTAACCTCTCAGTGATATACACAATATATCTATAATGTTAAATGTCACTATTTTTTATTTCCATATGATTTTTGCAGTAAAATGTTAAGTAGGGATTGTAACGGCTAAAAATCAGGTTTTTTCAATCTGAACTGAGGAACTAGCTGATACGTTCTTCTGCATAACTGCCCACCAAACTTACGCGAATCACGCATAATCCAAACATTATTCCAATAATATCAACAAGATGATTAGAGGGATAAACTCTTGTGTTACTGTTTAACGTCAATAACAAATTTTAAAAAATGGAAAACTAGCTTCAATGATGGTGTTCGGCGGGTATACAGTCGAAAAGTTGCTCAGGTATAAAATGCATACTGAGAATCACTAAGAGTATCCCCAGAAAGATGGGATGAAACCTCAATCCTCAAGAATCAAGCAGAACAGACACGTTTTCGCAGACAGTACAATGGTAAGCAGACACTTCATACTGAATCGCGCCCGCAAATCAGCACATTATTGTCATCACTATCAAACAACAATAAAGGCAAGCCTTCGAATTAGGCATCAATCAAAAATGAAGACAAATTGATAGAGCAAGAAAGACCAGTGGTTTAATGGTCTACGAGCTCCCCTTGCAACCGGAAGGTCCTGGGTTCGAAACCCGGCGGTGGTTGCGTGCTGATGAAGGGCCCTAAATTAGGCTGACGAAACAGCTGGCTCTTCAATACTCCCAAGTTTCCCAATGGTCCTCTAATCGACGTTAGTCCATGATAAAATCCTACATGATTAATAATTTAATTTCGGCAAATCTGGTCTTTCTTGCTCTATCGAAATTTATCAAAGGAACCAAATGTATGAAATAAAGATTAAGTTAAAAGGGGATATGGAAACGTTAGAACAATGATAAATATATACAGCTTAAGCGACAAAAAGGGTAGTAATTACAAAGTTACCTGAAACATCCAGATAAGTATCTGTATTACAAATAAATTGTTCAAAGAGAGACTTTCAGATCGATTATACTGTTACCAGGGTTTCTGTTACATATTTCCCCTTGGGATTTATTTCGCCTCTATCACCATACATATATACATTCATATGCTAGATATTTTATGATAATTTTACTAATGCAATGCATTATATTGAAGTACATTTTGTTTTATTTATTTTTTAAAATTCTCTTAGATGATGATAATATCTATCGTAAAAAGGGTTCTTCACGTCCTGTTGGCTATTCATTATTTACGCCTTCGTAAGTGTATGCTCTATTATAATATACTCTCTTAACTCTCATTCTACTAATATGTGTTAATTGTATGCTTGTAAGCATATATTCCATTTTTATTATTTTGTCATATTATATCTAGAGTATTAGAGTAGAAGTTTTATTACTGGCATTACAGTTGAGTAGCTGGTCAATCATAAATGTTATGAGGAATTTTTTTCATCCATCATACTATGTATGATATGTGAATTACATGAATATGAATAGTATATCACTTCAGATAACAGTTTATGAGGCTTAATTGTGACTATGTCTAATGGTTGCATTGTCTAAATGACATCATCATCATTATCATCACAAAAAAGACGAAATGACATTCAGAGATTTTTCTCTCAAATGTCGTTATTATTATCATCTCACATATTCTTTTAATGATCAATCACGTTGCTAGAACTAATGGTTGTTGTTAGCCACGTCGAGGTAATCTCAACATGAGATGTGTGAGTAATTTCCAACTACTTATATTACTATCACGTCAATTATACTTGCTTTTTCTTGATGGTTATTCGTGGTACCAAACAGGTCAATACTGTGATGTGAATATTATTTCTGCTTTCCAGGGAAGACTTTGATGATTTTTTCACTTCAAAGTGTGTAATTTGCATTTGATGAATTTGATTTCATGGATTACCAATTCATCCAAATAGCTATTTAGAATTCACTTCTCTGAATTGAATCTGTTCGACTGCAACGCTGGTAAGCTTGTCGGTTAGTTTTATCTAGCTAAGAAGCACTATTGATGTCTGGGAGTGGTTTCCAATTAGTCTTATCAATCAGTAGCACATACTCTTATAGTTACTGCAGAATTTGTGATATAATCGGTGAGAATATGGCTAATGTGTTTAGATCAAACTACCATATATTTTCTAGTAAGGGGTATTTGAGTTAAAACATCTCACAAGCTGCTCAGAATTGTAATTCCAGTAATATCTTCGGTGAACGGATAGCATATATGTACATTTCAAATGGTCAGTAACTTTCAATAATTATTGACATGAGTCGCAGTTACAGGTGTTGCTTTGCGGGGATTTGATTGGTTACAGGATTTCATCATAAGCTGACATCGGTTGTGGGCCGACTGTGTGATGACAAGTACTCCCCGATGACATTGACCAATGGTCCCGCTATATCGTGCATTGGCGGAATTTGGAATTCATGGTTTGGTCATTGGGTCGGGTCCCAGTGGCTTTAATGGTCTACGAGCTCACTTTGTAACTGGTTTCCCATTGGTTCTCCAGCTGATGGCAGCTCATGATGAAGTCCTATAGGTCGCAGTAATCTACATATATGTCCATTTATTTAAGAGATTAGGTATATCAATCGTTTATAAGTTATTAATACTGTTTAACTACAGATAATTAAGAGACATAGACTTATGTGACCCATTAGCAGAAATTTTTATTATCTGTGTCAATGAGTCAAAGATACATTAAGTGTTTTAATTGTAGTCGACACGTTAAGACATTTCGGTAAATCATTCACACATACATAGAATTACCAGTGAACTAGAATTTAATGTATTTTTTTAAACAATCTAACAAAAACTTATGCCGTCTATTATAAATTGCTTTTTGGTGAATCAGTTGATTAATTATACCTTTGTCTGCATTTCTGTACAGTACTATCATATTATTTAATCCATCGTATAGGATGTCTGGCGTGTAGTTTCTTCATTCCTGTATGTTCCCAGTAGGTCATAGGGTTTTAAATATTTTTTTTTATTTCAGTAACTATGGTGTTCGTTTTATGAGGTGGGGTTGCTAGCCTCACACTCAGCCTTCCCTGTCTTTCTGACGTATAACAGACCGCTAAACTAGGCAAAGTTTACAAGGGTGTCAGCCGGATATTGAACCAAAACGACCTACCTACTTGGTTGAGGAGGATTCTGCCATTAAACCAATGGTGCATATATCACCTTTGGGGCTGGACAGATTCATTGGTTAGTGTATAGAAGATGATATCTACATCATGTCTACACATAACAGAATATATTGTGTGTAGTGTAGAGTAGGAAAAAAATTGGCATGGATATGGTGTGTTTATTTTCCTCCCAGTAGAAGTAGTCTTATGGAGCTCATACGATATGATGGATACTTTTTTAGTTAATGCTTTAGGGAATATATATGCTGTCTCGTTCTATTCCTGGGTGAAATTACTATTACTATTTTTAAAAATCTCGCTAATTGTTTTGGTTCATTGAATTTTGTGTATTTTGTATTCATGTACCATGTTTTCACCGTCTCTACTTTTTGGTAATTATCGCTTTCACCCTGTTTTCATTGCACTTATAACCTCTTCGTATTCGATCATTGCTTGTTTTAACTGAAGATGTGACATCTGCAACCATGAGGTGTCTTCAGACTACTTCTATTTCGGGAAATTTTAATTACCCGGAAAAAAATGGTTTAATAATTTAATAACTATGTTGTATTGATCATATTAGTAGTAGAGCTAGTTAGGTCTTCAGTTAATCGTAACTCACGGTGTAAGTTGCACCGACGAGTGTCTATCTTTACATTGGAATAGACTGATCTAACCGTTATTGGTTTAGTTTGCAAAGAGGAGGAGGAGGATGAAGAGGTACACCGCAATGTTCGGCACCTTCGGATTCCGAGACATCTAATTCAGGCTATATAATACCTGGGTATTATCATGAAGCATCACACAATAAGCGTGGCTCATAGCCTGGTAATGTAAAAACTTATTCCGTGTAGCTGACTGAACTGAATCTTGACCAACATTTTGTTAAAGTTCTAGATATTATGAAGCATATAGTAAATAGATCATTGTCCAACTGATAATGTCGTTGGGTATAATCCTTTCATATATTGATGGTAATCAGATAACCAATTGTTAAACTAATTATCAATTCTTATTGTTATATTGTTAACTAATTTTACTTCATATAAATACTAAACATTATACTACTTATACATAAGCATACATATGTATGCATCATAATACCGTAGAAATCTACTAAATTAATAAAATACTATATAATAATTAAAGTTTAAAATGACTGATCGACTAACCGAGTTTCAACATAGAACTTTGTACAGAAGTACAACAGTTCAAATTATCACACTCCATGTAGCACACAGCAGGTAGCACTCCGCCCTGTGACACGGCAGCAGGAAGCGCGGTCGTTGTTAATCCGGGCCACGGCCGATCCGGCATGAAATTTTGTGAATTTGTTTGGATCATGATATTGGTTGAGGTAGCTGCTTTTTGTTTAACCGCTATCCAAACAACCTGCCTGGCATGGTAGGACCTCAAGAGACATAAGTCTCAGCCAGTATAGCTTGATTAGGTCATTGCGGTGTTCAAGCCCGACCACCACGTCAAGGTAGCAGCTTTCGGTCGGGAAATGTGGGCTGACGCACTTTTTTTTTTTACCTCGGTAAGCTAGTAATAAGACTGGTAAAGAGGGAAGGTTGGGGCCATGAGGCTAGCAATCCTATGCCGTAAAAATACACACCACTGCTACCGAAACTTCAAGCCTCCAGCTTGAAGCCGCCCTATGTTCCAGTGGGAACGTAAAGGAATAAAGAAAATTGTAGTGAACACAAATGTGGGTGAGATAAAAAAAAATCTTAACATAGAAAAACATGAAAATATAATAAATCTGAAAGATTACAAAGAGTAAAATGCATTTGAACCATTGAGAACGATTTTGCTGTCATATCCACAATAGTTTTGAACTATTGGATTTTAGAATCCTCAAGGTCTCCATCAGCTAGTTTACACTTGCCTACAAAACTCAAACTGGTAAAGACTTCATAGATTGATTCCAAACCATTGACACCTGTAGATTTAAACTTCATTTCAGTTAGCTGAGTTCCATCTGACCTCTTGTTAACGTCTTCATTGTTCATTTAAAAAACGATGACAATGAAATGACAGATTATCGCAAATGTTGTAATAGTACTTATAATCTATATTAGTTTGATTTTTTACATTTTCATTATTCCCTCCTAAGTTCATAATAGATAGTATAATATAACATAAATAAGCTGTAACTTGATTGGTGGTGTCTAGATTCAGAATCTAGGACTCATCGGCTGGATGTACTTGCATCCGCAATGCGTGATGGGGTTCCCACTGAGATTCCAACCCTAGCACTCACTGTTTCAAAAACCAAAACCTCCTCCTCCTCCTGACAATTTCCAAATAAGACGAAAGGCGCTCTCTAGATTCTACCACAAAAGACAGATAACATCATGTTTATGTGAAGGTAGTGTTGAAGCATCCGTGCCAGTAGCTGGCTGACATGTCAACAACATTTCTGTCCAATGTAATCTATCAATGAGGGATCCAAAATGACTTTGATAAATATAACACAAGTTGTATGACTGAAATTCAAACTTCTTATTAATTACTATTATAATTGGATTTTCATGTTGACCTTAAACTCAATGATGTCTATAACTTAGTTGGTCTGTAACAATATATGCATATATACACATAATAAGAATGGAATGAACAGGCGAGGTAACTAATCTGACTACCTGTAGGATAATCGTAGTTCTAGGATTTATCTATATTTGCTGATATTTCTTTGACATTCAAATCTGTGACATTGAGTTTGTCAAAGTCAATGAAATTCCTACTGCTTTCCTTTGTGGTCTTGTTTCAGTATGCCTCTGGAAATTTAAAGTCTTCAGATTTAACAATCCAAATAGTCCACTTCTTTCTTTCATAAAATAACGAATGACAGACATTACTGGTTAAGGCGAATTCCATTCATTTCATGTGATAAGAGTTTATTGTGGAAGAACTGGACGGATCTTTCTTAACAGGAATATCTCTACGAGGTGCAGGACTATTCAATAGTACTATTGGTAGATACATCCTTGGTACACAATCATATCACCAATTCTAACGCAACTTTTCACATAATAAATAGGCAAAGCATGAGTCAATACATCATCAGTAATCCATTGATTGAGATCTAACTTAGGCATGCAGAAAGAATCTGCGGTCTCACCTCACACTACCCTTTTATTTATCCTTTCCTATCAATACTCTTTTACACTGCTCATCTCTCTAACATTCTCCATTATCTCTTATGTCCATTATATTGTATTTTTATTTCCATGTATATCCTTTACCTTTCTTTCATTATTTTAATATCCTATCATATGATTGCTCTCCTCAATTTTATCCACAATCCCCTACCAAATGGAATGCTAATTACACCACCTTATCAATATTATATTAGTATTATCATTGTCCTGGGTTCGAACCACTGTGGGCGCGTATTGCTGAAGAGTCCCAAACTAGGACGAAACAGCTGTCCAGTACTCCCAGGTTTTCCAATGGTTCTCTAACTGATGTCAGCTCATGATGAAATCCTCCATGCAATCAAACAAAATTCCTACAAAACCAATACTTGAAAATTATCATTGTGTTTTGTTATTTTGATTGAATTTTACAGTCGGATTATTAAAAATTTGTACTTTTTCCTCTTTATTGATTAATTAGGTCATGAACTTTGTTATTTTTTGTTCCCATATATCAGTAAACTATAGGCTATAGGTGTGTGTATGTATCGGTTTGGAAAGCCTTAGTTTGTGTTAATTTAACTAAAAAAACCTTATCAAATTATTTACATTTGAACTAAGTGTATGAATGTGAAGGATTTAGAACAGTGACATAAACTGAGTTCAATTTATTTTACAATACTTATTGTTCTTATTTGAAGTACGATTTTCAAGTATTGCTTTGTAGGGATTTCGTTTTATTGGTTGGAGGGTTTCATCATGAGCTGACATCGGTTAGAGGACCATTGGAAAACCAGCCGTTTCGTCCTAGTTTAGGACTCCGCTTCAGCAGTACGCACCTACCACCGGGGTCCGAACCCAGGAACTTCTGGTTACGAGGCGAGCTCATAGACCATTCAGCCACTGAGACCCGTTCCATTGGGCTATTGGATCTGATCTCAGTGGCTTAAGTAGGATTAACGGCTATTAAGAACAAAACTTTGTTGTTCAAATTATGAGATTTGTGGGGATTTGGATTAATTCCAATTCTTAGACTTCGTCAAAAACCAATATTGACTATAGATCACTGGAAACTGGGCAGTCTTGGATAGCTGTTTCGTCCTGGTCTGGGACTCCTGACAATGAACACCTCCTAACTGGCCAGGAATTGAACCCGGGACTTTCAAGTTAGGATATCAAGCTCTTTGACCATTCAACCACCTGGACGGGAATTCATTCACTCGTTAAAGTTCTAATTTTTTCTACTCGTCGTATAGAGCTACTGTCAACTAATGCATTCGATGAGTATCCACTTCACATTGGTATGGTGGATCCCTTTGGTCATGACTTCTCGTCAAAGCTTCAGGACATCCATCCAGTGTCCGTCAGTAGTCTGGTGATTGATATTCGGATTATAGGATTTATAGGGGCTTGATATGGTAGCCTGTTGGTCCCCGGATTTGAACTGTAATGGGTTCGTGGGTGTACCAATTTTCCCTAGTTTCCAATGATTATCCCTTACTTTTACAAGGGTTTAAAGCTGTGTGTAGTAACCTAACAATTAATTGTTGAAGTATCTGAGTTCAGTGCCAACAGTATTACTAATTGGGGTTGTTGTACATCTAGAAGACGAGTCTTAAAATAGGACGAAACTGACTTCAGCCACCACCAACGAAAAAGTACACTTTGTAATTCATTTTGTTTTCATTGTATACATCATAACGATTGCCTTACCATCTTTTCTTTTCTTTTTTGCTTTTTCTCTACTTTTCAACTTTATCTATCGATCGATTGATTGATTTTGTTTATTTTTACTGATATAATTTCAACTTTTGTTTGAAATTGTTCACTTGTAAGTTGTGAACTTTTTTGAACTTTTTGTTGTTTCTTTTTCACTATCAATCACAGTTGAATTGTATGTCATTATTATTATTACTAGTAGTAGTAGTAGTAGAAGTAGTATTTATATGGTCACGTTTTTTAATGGTCATTCACTGTATTATAGATAAGTAGAGATAAGAAGGCGTAGGTGACGAACTATATAAAGTGTGAAAGAAATTAAATAGATTTCAATTGTTTGCTTTTGGTGTTCTATGATTGTCCTCCCTCTTTGTCTATATGGTTGTCCCTCTCTCTCCACTTTTCGCTTTCTCCGTCTTTCTTTTAAATCCCTGTCCTTTATGTGAAATAGTAGAAACTAATTAGTAATTAAACTTATTGCCTCGAAAATTTCCAATTTTTCCAGTCTTTTTTTTCTTCTTTTAAGGTTTGTCTCTTTCCTTTTTCCCTCATCCTTCAAATTGTATTTTTTTTCTTTTAGGCATGGTTAATTAGTAGTGTATAAACAGTTCATTTGTTTGTTAAAATGACTACAATTTTTGTGTATTCCAGAGATATTTTACAACAGCAGGTTGAAGATGAGGCAGTAACTCATCGAAGAAGACATTGCGAAGTGGTCGCGCTATGTCGTGAATTGGGAGAAGTTAGAATTCGTGGGCCATTGGATCGGGTCCCAGTGGCTCAATGGTCTACGAGCTCGCCTTGTAACCAGAAGGTCCTGGGTTCGAGCCCTAGCGGTGGGTGCGTACTGATGAAGAGTCCCAAACTAGGACGAAACAGCTGTCCAGTACTCCCTAAAGGTTTTCCAGTGGTTCTCTAACTGATGTCAGCTCATGATTAAATCCTCCATGCAATCAACAGATATATGTATGTATGTATGTGTGTGTGTGACTCGGTACCTTGGGATTACTGGACAGTTGTTCAAATTGTCATATTCCAACAAAGACTATAGATATCTGAATTCCGGCTTGAGCAAACTAAATTTTTCTTATACTCTTCATATTACATGATCACTGACCTATTGGATGTGTGCCTTGTCGTTATCTGACAATTTTTCCCTTTCGCCTAAACTACTGATCCTACATTCTCCAACATCAGTTTTTGAGGTATGCAGTTGGTAGTCAGGTGTTTGACACATGTCATCGGCATCTCAAGTGATGGACTTACTACTTATCCTACCTTCATAACTTCCTCATGGCTTACATGGTGATTCAATCAAACATGAATATTCAAGGGTTGGTTTGCGGGGATTGGATTGGTTACAGAATTTCATCATGAGGTGACATCGGTTAGAGAACCATTGATGAGCCTGGGAGTACTGGACATCATACTGGTCGAGAGTCCTGAACTAGGACGAATCAGCTGTCTAGTTAGTACTCCCAGGTTTACCAGTGGTTGCCCAATCGATGTCAGCTCATGATGAAATCCTGTAACCAAACATAGATAGTTTGATTACGTAATACTTGTGGTCATATTTCATCACCACATAATAGAGTTGAAGACAACATGCTGTTACGTAATGCACTTGACAATCTTATTAGACGATTGGACATATCTAATTTATTTTAATTTCCCCGTTAATTGATTGGATCGAAACGCTTGACCACTCTGGATCTGTCGGCTTTTCGTGCGTATGCTGCTACGATGTCTGTGGATTTAACCTAAAGTAATTCAGAGAATGCTAGCTAGCAGTGAAATCCTCAGGATGCTCATTTCGTCCTATTCGAGACTCGTCAGATGAATACTTGCCTTTCCCAGTGAGTGATTTTGTCTACCGCGAGGCTCGAACCCAGTAACCATCGTTTCAAACGCCAAAGCATACTGATATTTCTCCTGCTTTTCTCAAATAGTAACATATCAAGGTTTTGTTATATATTCATCTGTCAATCTTCTCCAACAAAATAATCTATTTCATATCTCTATGCATATGAAACATTTCAAAATATATATGCATATACACACACACTTTTTCCTCGTACTAATATTATTCGCCTTTTTCCCCACTGCTTTTATCCCCATATATATAGAGATAAAAAGAAGAACAAAAAAATTGCCAAGAGTCGTTTAGCTGTATCGAATTTATTATACCCTGTAAGTTGATTGATTGATTGATTGTCTTTTTCTTCTAGTGGAAAAATTATTCACTAATTGTTTTTTTAATCATTACATATTATATCACATCTTTTCTGTCTTTCTAACCATTAAAATGATTCACGTTGAATTATTATTATCATTATTCCCTTGCGTTCCTAGTGGAACATAGGGCTTCAACTGCACGTCTCCACTTGCCACTTCTGTCTTCCTTCTGCTGTACTTTTCACCTGCATCCATATTAGTCCATACTGTTTCAGCTCCTCTTCACACGATCTCCTACATGTCACCCTTGCACTGGCGACCCACTCGCCGCTTCCCTGTCGGCCTGGTTCCACTCGAGCAATGATCTGACGCGTGCGCGATGTCACCCAGCGGCCTCCTCAGCGAGTGTCCCATCCATCTCCACGTCGAATAATTAGTAGACTGTTATTGATGTGATAAATTATTATTGTTATTATTATTCTTTTGGGTTCTGTGAGTAGGACATCTCCAGTTCACCCTATTTCTTTGCAGTCATTTTTAAGCTGAATCTATCATTGTCCATAAGCCTTTATCTCCTCTGCGTACGAACCGCCCCCCCCCCATTTCATCTTCGGACTCACGCCCAAGACATCGTTTCCACCTGAGGGTCTGGCGTGTATTTTCAGCCAACAACAACAACAACAGTCTCCTCATTGTGTTTCCGATTCATCTCCATTCCCTTCTGCATATTTGTTAGCCGATAGGCACTTGACTGGTGTAATATCAGTAAATAGTTTGAGCATTGTGGATTAGATCAAATTAAGTATAATTATATTTCAATAGTTTACACACAATGATACGTTTTGTTATTGATAATATTTCGAGCAAAATTACTGCCCGTGTTCACACCACTGTTGGAATTATACTATACTTGACTGGTTCATTGTCACATCAGTGTATAAAAAGTAAACTAACAATATAACGGGTGATTATTTATTGGAAATGAAATGAAAGTTGAGAGGATTGTGTCAGACTTCGAACGTGTGTAACGCAGCTGATAGACTGAGTGGTGGACTAGTAATCTGCACTTTTTGTTGATTTGTGAATCCTCAATATAGATTTAATTTTCATTTAACCTTCAAACATCACCTATATTACGTTGACCTTTTTGATGATTTTGCTTTATACTGTGATGTAGACTGACAGTAGTTATTACATTTTTTCGTAGTTAGTGCTACTGACAAATGAAAACTTCACAAGGGTTAAACTATCCAACTTAGATATATCCACCTGAGCTACAAATCTCTTCCATTGTTTTTTTTTTCAGAACTTTGTAAATGCATAAGGATGGTGTGATGAGTGATGATAAACGAGGAGAGGGGGATATATCTTGTTCCGGTTAAATTAAATTTTCGATCAGCATTTCGAAAAATCATTAATCTCTTTAGGTCACAGTTATGTATTCGGCTGAACAACATCATATTCAGTTGCCTATTTTGTTTTCTGTGTATATAAGTATTATAAGGTGTGTATCTGGTCAAATTTCTTATTTTTCTGTGGGTGCTATTTCAGCTCATGTCTCCACACTGAATTGTCCTCAGATTGTACTTATTATGTTTGTGAGAAGTCGTGACCAATAGGGTGAAGCAGGTTGGGTGCGATGACAACTACTCTATTTCCCGTGTAGAGTGGCATAATAAGGTGAGCAACATGGAGGTTAGGCGTCGAGTGCTAGGTAAACAGGGGAAATCAATCGACGAAGTCGTGAAGCTACATCGACTGAGATGGTTAGGACATGTGTTACGTATGCCAAGCCATCGCCTCCCTCGACGAGCAATGTTAGCGGATATAGGGTCAGGCTGGAAAAAAGCTAGCGGCGGTCAAACAAAAACTTGGCATCAGTCAATGAAATCCACAACAGTTGGTCTAAGCCAGCCACGTAGGAAGGTGTAGACTTCCAGGCTGGGGTCCTCGGGACGGTAAAAATCTATGGTTGGAAACAATTGGTGACATGGCTCAAAATCGTTCTCAGTGGCGCAGATGCATCCACTCCCTGTGACTTATGATCTTCAATGAAACTCTTTTGTATTTCTTTATTACTCCTTTGTCTCACACCTCTGCTCACTGTTTCTATTATGCTTTTCTTGTACTTTCTTCTCTTGCTTCGCGTGCTACACGGAATGTGGCGACTTGAACTGGCGCACATTTGTGCAAAGTTCTATGTCGAAAACAGACAGACAGACTATGACATTGGCTAGTGGTCGCGAATTGGCAGAAGTTGGACTTCATGGGTTGGTCATTGGGTCGGGTCTCAGTGGCTAAATGGTCTACGAGCTCACGTTGTAACCGGAATGTCCTGTACTCAAACCCCGGTGGGTGCGCACTGCTGAAGAGTCCCAAACTAGGATGAAATAGCTGTGCAGTACTCCCAGCAGGTCTTCCAATGGTTCTCTAACCAATATCAGCTCATGATGAAATCCTGTAACCAATCAAATCCCTGCAAACCAACACTTAAATATGTTTGTATTCATTATCATTTTATACACAACTACTTCTGGTATACATAGTTCGACTGCTTAATAGATGTATTATTCCTGAATTAATGGATAAAAAGCGTGTGAATGTGTGTCGATGATTCAGTGCTAGGATGCTCACCAACTACTCCCGGCTGACGCATTCTGATACCTCACCTAGCAGTAAGCCTAGTAAACAGGAAGCTATCAACTCCATTTCACAAAAAAGTAACACGTTTGCTGGAACTTCACAACTGTTTCTTGAAGCCCTATGTTCCACCGAGAACGTATAGAAAAGGGGAAGAAAAGCATCCGAATCATATCTCTTTGACTAAAGTTTTGGTGGTTGGTTAGGTAGCATGGTCGTCAATTTCCACACAAGTTATGTGCCTGATATAAATCGCCACCTGATGAATATACCTTCATTTTCTGAATCATACATTTACATTTGTATATATATGCATCATTTTGTGTACATCTTTTATTTCAAAATCATCATAGATGATACCAGGAAAAACAAGAAAACAAAACAAAAAAGAACTGGCACATTTAATAATCTATCAATTCATCACCTTTTATATTTTTTTCTCTCCTCACACATCTTTTACGCATAGACTTTTTTTATTTTAACCTGCGCCTACCCACAGTCATCATCATCATCATCATCGTTCAACTTTTAAATCATGTGTGAAATTTTTTTTAAACATGATATGCACACTTGATGTGTATCTCTTTTATTTTTCTCAGAGGAAAAACAATGCGACAATAACAACACAGAAATGTGGATAACATTACCATCTTTCCTTGTGTGTGTGTTTAGATTAATGAAGGCCTTATAATTAAGAACAGCCTATGTGATTACATCGGCGTGTTGTTAATTAATTAGTTAGTCAGTCCGTTTATAGAGTTGTTTTTTTTTGATAAAAGTGTTTGTTTTTCTCAATTTCTAGTTATTTTGTTTTCCTTAGAAGGAATGCTATTAATCTTCTAATCATTGCTGTCTTTTTCGTTGTTTTTTTCTTATTCTTATGTTGAGGAAAGGAAAAGTTGACTTTATAAGAGTATGTATGGTTAGTTTATTTATATACGTTTGACAGATTTTCTTCGTCTCAAGTTTGATAACCAGGGACTACCTGACAACTGTTCCGTCCTTTGTGTTCATGGTTCCTCAGCATTTTTTCCCTTCACGTTCCCGACGGAACATAAGGCTTCAAGTTAATGGCTTGAAATTTTTGTAGCAGTGTTTATTTTTACAGGATGGGATTGCCAGCCCCATGCCTAACCTTTCCTCCTTACCAGCATTTTTTCTGGCTTAACAAGGTTTGGGAGTGATTCGGCAGGGGATCGAACTCTGGTCCATGTGCATGGTCGGTGAGCGTCCTAACCGCTATCCCACCGACGCACCTAAGGTTCTTCAGCATTGCGCAACCATAATCCCACTGGGAGTCGTCGAACTAAGCACTTTCAGTTTATGAGACGAGCTCGTTGGTCATTCGGTTACTGCGGTATCCTATGAATTCCAACTTTTGTCTATTCGCGATTATCTGCGCCACCCCTATAACCAATGTCGTCAGCGAGTACTCATCCTCACATCCGACCTGTTATTAATCTCCTGGATCACAATTGAAATCATTAAAATCTCTACAAACTAGCACTTGAAGATTTGAATAAAGCAAAAAAACAGTGGTTTGTGCAGAATAATATGATACCATCATTTGTTTTGTTGGCTTCTCATCAGCTGCTTACAGCCTGAATGGATTATTAAGTTTATGTACAGGAGGTTCCAAAACCTCCTGTCCACTGACATCATGTAAAATTTCTAAGTATGCTAAAAATCTTTTGTGTACAGCCTAAATAAATTATTAATAATCTATGTAAGCTGCAAACAGATGATGAGAGAAGCCAACGAAATAAATGATGGTACCATATTATTCTGCACAAACCACTATTGTTCTTGTTTGATTCAAATTCATAAAGAGGAATAAATGTATGAAAATTAAAAAAATATGTTTGGGTTCGCTAGGCTGATTACGATAACTTCTAATTAAAATATTATTGAATAATGGTTTCACTGTGACTACTGGTCTGACTGAGTTTTCAACATAGAACTTTACACAAAAGCTTACCAAGTCAACTTTTAACACTCCATATAGCATACAAAGGTAGAGAAATAAAATTCGAAGGGACTATAATAATAATAAGAGAATAATGTGAATTTAATGGATGTTGGAGTTCATAAAGAGTGAATGTGTCGGAACTATTGAGAGAACAATTTTAAGTCGTTTCTTCAGCAATTCGAATTATAATAAAGATTGATGTTATCTATCATCGCCCAACATAATCGTTAATCATCCTCTGGGGATGTAACGTACAGTGTTGAGGGTACTACAAGAAAAGAGAAATAGTTTTACTAGTAGGCTTTCACTTTGGTAATGAGAGTTGTTCTGCACATCTTTCTTCCATGGATTTTCTATTCCTACTGTCTACTTCTTCTATCGTACTGGTTAAATGTATCACTATGCC